TTATAAAACACAAAATCATTACCATTTCCCAATCAGTACAGGAGATTAGATTTTAGATTCTGCTCCCATAATGAAAGCCAATAAAGAGATTGTCCCTTTCACTTTCAATAGTGAAACAGGGAGCATATAAAATTAATAAATAAATATAAATACTCAAGATTAATGTTGCGTCCGGAGAACTCTGATACTATTTAATTAAATTTTATTAAATTTGGCATCATTTTTTCATATAGGAGTTAAATTCATAAATCTTCTCAACAGAGCCACCATGATTAATAGTTAAGAGAAAGGAGAGAATGTAGACTGTGATTTTTAATGATTTACAAACTTATTAAAGATATGTTTCTCTTACTGGAATAATTATTATGCTAAGAGCATTTTTTCTCAGAATGCTGGATACAGCTGTGATTACAAAGATAAGAAGTAGATGTAATGTGAGTGCAGAATCTAGCTAAGTTTCAGAGATATTAAGGAAGCCTAAGAAAATTTTTATCATCTCTAACTTCCTTAATTCCAACTCTTGCCAAATTTGCTTTTTCTGTCCTTATAAAATCTAAGTTACCTTAAAAACTTAAGTGTGCAAGAATAACAAAATTATAATACAAAGATATGTTTTTAATGAAGTCTAATCTATATAATTTGTTCTAAATGAATGATCAAGGGTTTTTTTGTTCAAAATTTGCCATTTTTTAGGATAAAAAGCAAGAATTATAGATTAAAACCAGATGCTGAATGGAAAAATGACTACATCATTGTGTTCTAATTTAAGACAAGGAAATTATAAGAAATCCATATCCAAAAGAGAAAAAAAGACCAAACCGACTCACTACAATGAGAAACTATCTAATAATTAACTAGAACTGCTTATGACATCTTTGGACTCTGAACTGCTTCTCTCAAGACCAACATGCCCAACTATAATAAGTATATAGTGTTACAATCAATTGTGATTCCTCTGTACATGTGTATGTATGGGGGGGTGGGGGTGGAGAATTCACTAAATTTCTGGTTATCCAGACTCACTATTAGACTCATAGGAAAGAATGTTTTTCAGAGTAAATTATCTAATGCTAGTTCATTTGTCATGGAAAAATAAATGTCGGCGGGAGATTACTTCTTCCTTAGAACAAACTCCATTTGCAGAATCTGTCCGTATAAATTAGTAAGAACACTTCCTGAACTGCACTCTTCATAGTAATCCATAAAATGACTGAACAAACATGTCCAAGAAATAACAGTAAATTAGCCACTAGAGTGAAGAACACTGCATTTAAATATTATTTAAATATGTATTATACACTAAAATGAAGAGTTGTGTTTTGTGTGTGTGTGTGTGTGTGTGTACAATTAAAGTGCAGACAGATTTTTTTTTTAAAAAAATGAAAATGTTTCCCGGAAGCTAACATTTTAAGATATCCCATTACAATCAATAATCTGAAAAATTAAAAAGCATGCTAATACCCAAGGTGGCATAAAATGGGTTCATTATACAAGATTCATAGCATACTTGGAAATATATACACTGATCACGAACCAGAGTCAGTTCATGAGTTGTCAAGGCTAAATTCAAAATAACCCTAAGAGTGCAATAACAAGGAGGCCAATATACACGTAGTCCTCAGCTACAAATGAGCCCAAAATTTATGTTGCTAAGTGAGACAATTGTTAAGTGAGTTTTGCCTATTTTACAATCTTTGTTGCCACAGTTGTTAAGTGAATCACTGCTGTTGTTAAGTTAGTACAGTTATTAAGTGAACCTGGTTTCCCCATTGACTTTGCTTGTCAGAAGATTGCAAAGGATGTGCACATAATCCCCAGGACACAGCAACCGTCACAAATATGAACCAGTTGTCAAGCATCCCAACTGTGATCATGTGACCATGGGGACGCTGCAACAGTTGTAAGTGTGAAAAACAGTCATAAATCACTTTTTTCAGTGATGTAACTCCAAGCAGACACTAAATGAACTGTTAAGTCGAGGATTACCCGTAATTCTGAATTTCTGTCTGATCACTTTATAATAACAAATATTGGAGGAGAGGCACCTGATAGAAACAAATCTTTCTGACTAGACCACGTCTTGGGAAGCTCATAGTGAAATATTGGATTGACTGTTCATGTATGTAAAAAGTCAGTGGTGCAAAGCAAAAAATATTGGAGTTCAATCATAAAGGACTGGTCTCTACTAAAATGCAAAATTAGCCTGTAGAGAAACTATATTTGGATGACATTTTTCTTAGTAGCAATTAAGAAAGCAAAGATCTTGGAACAGATACAATAGCCTTGCCTAAACTTCCTAGAGCTGTGGTGGCAAACCTATGGCACTCATGCCGGAAGTGGCACACAGAGCCATCTCTGCTGGCACACGAGCCGTCGCCCCAGATCAGGTCCACTGCGTATGTGCGTTCGCCTCCCATCAGGCAGCTGATTGTCGGGTATCTGCCGCGCATACACAGAGGCGCAGGTCGCGCACGGGGGTGTGGTGTGTCGTGAGTGCATTGCATTATTGGCACATGACAACAAACAGATTAGCCATCACTGTCCTAGAGAATGGTCCAAGGGGAAATATGTCATCAGATATGCCACGCAGAGCTTCTTGGAAGAAGGTTGGAATAAAAGAATTATAAAATAAATACCTGTCTTTCCTCATAGTTATTTATTATAAACATCTGCATTAAGTATGGGTAGCTGTCAGAATGACTTTTTAAAATCCCTCAGAAACACTAGGCCTCCTTTGTCAGAAAAGTCAGCAAACAAGATAGAAATCGTCCTTTCTTTTCTTTTTTACAATTATCTCACTTCTCTTTCCTTACCAACACTTTCTAGTTCCCAAAGCTATATTAATATTAATGCCTATATGAAGTACACGCAGGAAACAATGAGAACATGCACTCAGCATCTTCTTTGTAATTATACCACCAGAGTCAGCTATTTCTAATGTTAACATTCATTGTGGAGCTAAGCAAAGCTATTTCACAACATGGAATTAAGCAACATGGTTGTTGATTGCACCACTGCCGGTAGAAAACTTATGATGGTGGAAGGTACTACAAAAGCCACACAGAAGCACACCATAGCGCCATCATGCACCTAACACAACTCACAGAACTTACCCCTCTTTTGAGGCTTTTGAAAGAAGGCATTCTGGGCTTCCCTGTCTTTATTTCATTCATGCAATAATGGATTTGTTCAATGGAGAATATGGGATACTGGGAACCATTAGAAGTACTGGACGTGTACAAACTAGTAGGGGTAAGGGGTGGGGACTGTGGCTGATATAGAAAGAAAGGAAGAGATAAGGCAAATATTCAAAGTGGTGAAAATTCTGTCTTCTCCTTTCAATACAGAAACAAATGATGGGTTGGATCCAGAGTAACAAAGGAACAGAATTCTGCAAACTGAATGCTCCCACAACTGGATAGAAGGGGAGATTTTAACCAAATACTTCTGAAACCCATAGTAACTATTCTTTCATAAATGAAGATTGAAGGGCTTTAAAAATAATATGAAAGGTGGAACTGGAGGTGGACAGAGGGAATAGGTGAAAACAATCTTCTTTCACATTACATAGCCTCCATTGCACAATTCATTCACTTTAGGGAATGGAAAAAAAATTCTTCCATTTCAGTACACTGGATCTGGATCCAAGCCCATAACATTTTATATTTTCATCATTATAATTAGTAGCATCAGAATGTATCATCATAACACTTATACAGGCATCACAAAGCTCTTGCTTTTAACTACTAAAATAATAAATGCACCAAGTTGAGGTTACAAGAATTTCAAAATCACAGTGAAAGTTACCCCTTTGGACTAACTCAAAAATACATCAATAAACTTCAGTCACAAAAGGAAATACATACGATAGACACTCGCATTTTATTTATATAGGTGGTGTATTACATTTGCTTCTTGCTATGAAACAATGAAATTAAAACCTTATTTTATCCCAAATTTGGATAGCCATTTTAATGATACATGAAACCAGTGGCTTCAAATATTAAGAGATACACCATGTAGTTAGAAATTACAATTGCATTATTTCACCTAAAGCAGGTGTGTCCAACCTTTTAGCTTGCCTCGACTGCAATGAGTGAAGAGGAATTGTCTTGGGCGCCATATAAATACATAATATTGTTAATGTATATAAATTCACATAATAATGATAAAATTATACAATATTGTAGGCTGCATTACTAGCTGCCCAGGGCCAAAGGCAGCTCACAGCTTGGACACAGCTGATCTAAAAGTATTAAAATTTTCTGCACAAATTTCCCATACAATCCACCACAATTCAATGAAAAAAATAAAAATAAAACATGTTTATGCTCATTGCTTGTCCCAATGCCAACAATACCTACAATTATAGGGTCAACTTAATTAGACTTAATTAAAACTTAATTAGACTTAATATTGCTAGTTTTTCATACTTCAAAAGGAATTAATTTCCATTTGAACCTTCAGGTCACCTGCTTCTCAACAGTATTCACTTTTGCCCAAGTTTTATCTTATAAACATGAAGCCATCCTCAACAAAGCTTCACCAGGACGAACAAAGCTTAAATAAACTATTCTCCTAATTGTACTACATTTATCATGTAAGTTAAAAATCTTAAACTGATTGTGCTTATTAATCTCTCTCCAGTCCACCAGAGCACTTCGATTTCAACAAGTACAGTTCCACATGGATAGCAAAATATTGCATGCTGTAACAGTTTGGCCAAGTCACTGTCTGGTATACACAATAATTTTAAAGTTACAGGGCTTGCTGGGACTCAGCTGCTGGAATTCCATAGTTGAATTATGTAGGGATGAGAGATCATAATAGTAGTTATCCTCTGGAACATACTAGAACCCAGTTTCTAAAATGAACAGTTTTGCCCCTACAATCAGTCAATAAGAATCAATCTGATTATTCTGTTGAAAAAGGCAACATTTAATCACTGAATTACAATCTTGAATGTGCAATCATAGGACACATTTTTATTTTATTTTTACCTTTGGTTTCTTTCCAAAGAGCCAGAGTTTTCCTTTAGCCTTGCCCACAGTGGTTTTTGCATCGATTTTCATTCCTTCCTGTTTTGGGGTACTGATCGTTCCATCAGAAACAGTCCTATAAATGTGTTGACTGTAATCTTCAAATGGAAAATCTCCAGGAGGTTCAAAGCCAGACTTAAAGGAGTCTATTACAATTTGAGCATCCTTTATGAGAGAAATATACACAGTTAATTGGCTTAAATATTGCATTTAACTAATATTACACTTAAAGACTACCAATCAGCCCTTCAAGGTACTCGAGATCAGGAAGCCAAAATCACAAATACTTTTATTGCTCAGGTTACAGCAACAGAAACTTGCAAGTCTGAAAGTGCCCCACACCCCAAAAAAACTTTATGTTCTGGAGAACTAGGAAGGAACAATTCTGAGAGGAACAATTCTGAGATGATTCCTCAAAACACATTTCTGGTTTGCATTCAGATTTTGTTTAACTGACCACTGTCTAGGTTGCAGCTCTTCCTCCTGTCTCTTCTGCCCATTTTATACTACCAAAACTTAATGTAAATTAGTTTACAATGTTATTTTTCAGGGTCTCTGTTTTGAATGGTAAGCATTTATTGTAGAGAAAACAAAAAACTACAGATATCCTGTATTTCCTTTTCTTTTATCATTACATCAAAATTGGAACTGTTACATGGAATCTATCCAAGAAATAAACTGATTCCCAAGATACAGACAGTTTCATTTTCATCAAGTACTGAACACTAGAAATTCCATTTGGAGTAAAATGGACTTAAGAACAGGCAGGAAGCAGTTTCTTAGCATCTTATCCCATTCGAAGCCATTCGAAGAACAAACACAGAATACCGAATCAGGGATGCCAAATATTGCAGCTCCTGTCTTAACAGGTTTGTTGTAATATGTGTTTGCATCTCTTGAATATCAATCTATTCTAATTTTGACATAGTGTAATATACACATTAATCATAAGGCTAAGCTATTGCTTGTAATGTACATTTATATACACAAATGTAAAAAACAAACAAACTGAATAAACATAAAATCTTGCACTGGTTGAGAGGCATTGGTTATCAGGCCCAATTGCTAACAATTGCTAAATTATAAGCGTACACTTAAAATCAAGTTCTACAAAATTAAAAATTATGCATTGGTAGGCACCTAGATTTAATATTCTCCTTTTGGGATATGTAAAACTATTAGACTGGATTTCTTTTCAAACAGGCAATAACAATGGAACATGCTATATTTCTGTAATTATCTATATCAGATGTGCAAATCTAAAACCATACCAGTAAGACTGGCTGCCCTCTCTCCCCCTCTCCTCCTCCCCCCTCTCTCTCCCTCTCAGGGAGGGAGAAAGATATTGTTGCTGCCTGCCATTTTATTTAGACAAAGTTATCTCATGCAATTCTAATTCTCTGGCATACGTTATTGTCCAATGCAATTTAGGTGTTAATTGTGGAAAATTATTTTTCCTACTGTTTACTATCATCATATTTGTGAATTGTCACTAACTAAGGTAGTCACTAACTGAGGACTGGCTGCAATATGATGAGTTCCACTTTCTGCTGCTTCTTAAATCAACAAAAATGTTAGGAAAAGAGAGAGGAAAGCTATTAATTTCATGGGAAAAACATATGGAATCGCCTGTATTTTGCTTTATGGGACCTAAGATGAGTAAACTTGACCAGAGTAGGCTCTAGTCTAATTACGATATAATGTGATTATAATCTACAAGATTAGATTTACTTCCATAGCAATTTGCTTAATACTAGCACTGAATTATGCAGAACAAATTAAACTTACCCTGCGGTCATCCACTGATTTGGCTGCAGCAATCATCCCTTCTAAACATTTTGAAACTATTGGAATAACTTTCCTCTCAGAATCTGCAAATCCTTTATAACATTCACTAAGTTTGATGGTTCGTCGTTCATCCATTTCTTGAAGGTGCTAAGTAATAAAGAAGAGACTGAACATCTTTATAGTAACATTCCAAATAGAATGGAACATTGTCCTCACTATAATTATCATATGTACAATTTGTGGTGTTTTAACTAAGCTTTAGTGAACTAAATATATTAAATAATACCAAATGTGTTATTAGTGGATCAGTAGTTCACTAAACTTTGCTCATTTCTACAAATGGTATTCACATTTCTAAAATGAAGACAAGTACCCAGCTAATGCCTTCTAAAATCAATCAGAATTGGCAAATATTAACCACAGTTTATCAATAAAACTCATGATTTGTATTCCACATGCAACCTCTGTGATAATAAAAATAAGAAAGAATAACTTAAAGACTAAGACTTTTATTATACAATAAACTCCGATACCATAAAACTGTATGCCATAATTAAGTAGTTAAGTCTTTTGCTGGTTTCTAAAACATTTTCAAATCTTACAAATAACAGAAAGGTGGATAGGCATTCTTCACTTTTAGAAATTTTATAATTTATAAAATAAATTATATAGACTTAAATGAACAGAATCTAGAAGAATAAATGGTAAATTGTAGAAATGTACCCTTCTCTCTCTTCAATGACCAAATTCAATTCATCAACTTACCTTGTATATTTGAGGAATGACAATATAGAAATGCTTGTGCTGTTCACCATTAAAATTTTGGAGCTGTGCAGCATATTCATTTTTATTTTCATCAGCCATATGTGTACGTAGGTTTAGTTGCTGCTTTGCCTAAAAATGGGGACAGATCAATACCAGTTTAAAATTATTTTTAAAAGAAATTATTACTTAGCAGCATGCTCATTATTTTTCCCAGTGACATCTTAATGTCCAATATATCCTCTCATTAACACTTGTAAGTTATGAATAGAAATGGTTTCTCAACTATAAAGTCAATCCCTATTAAAAAAAAGCTTTTGATTTTAACTGATAAGTCAGTTGCTTCAAATTATGCCACTGTTTTGGTGCTATGTACTTTCAACAAATGCATTTACAAAAGAAACTAAACAGGAAAGGCTACCTTACAAGAGCATTTGCAGCCAAGCCAAAATGTCACTAAAATCTCCCAATCTCTCCATCTCCCCCCTTCTCTCCCTCCCTCCCTCTCTCTCTCTCTCTCTCTCTCTCTCCCCCACGCACACACACACACACACACACACACACGACAAACACAAATCTTGCTCCTTATGCAACATTGCAATGCAAGTACGAAAAGAGCATTATTGATGAATAATTTATTAAGTGGTCAGCTCTATCCGTCTGCAGGAGCTTATGCTGACTTACCAAGGAAACATCCTTGCACAAATCTACAACTTTTAAGAGAAAATAGTCACAAAAATATTAATTTTGTGTCTGTCTGTGAATAAATACAAAAAAGGGAGAAATCCCACCAATGCAAGCATATTCCTACAACAGAAGCTGACTCCTGTTGTAATGAGTTTAGTTTTCTTTGAGAATAAAGAATTAATAAATTATGGTATTAAAATCACTAACTGTAAATCTAATGAGAAACACAGTTCATCAATGTATAAAAACAAACATTACAGACACATCACAAGAGGTAAAAAACTTAGATAAAAATAGCAAATGCTTAAGACCTTTTATTTAAAATACTGTTCTTAAAAATGCTGCACTCTTACTTATGGCTTTTATTCAATTACAATAAAATATTATATACAAGACTATATGAGTAAATAAGATACTACATATAGTTTCTTAACATTATTCATCAATTAATATTTTAAAGTGTTTATATAGAATGTTACCCATAGTGTTTTTGTATTTAAAATAAAATTAAAGATTAAAAAAATAGTTAAGTAAGGAAGTTTCAGGGACATGATTAAGCAACGGTCTGCTGTGAAATTGTGAAACAGCAAACTGGTTTAAATAAATATTCAAAAGACTAATTGTGACTTTCAATCTTCATTTGGAATATTTGCCCAAGTCACATTTTATTGCTTTGGATTTATAAGCACAATCCGCAGCTCGATCCACGAGAAAACAAGAAAGCTCAAGATTGGCTCGAGCACAGGACTATAAAAGTTGCATTTTAAAATGTGTTGCGCGTGACATTTCACAGAAGGTCCAGTCATGTGTGTGGAAACTTCTCTTTCAAATGTGAAACAGGCTGTTTTAAGCATTCACAGCAATTTTATCAACAAAATGGGACATTTCATGAAATTTTGCAATCAGAACATTTCAGAACCATAATTTTCAAACCATATTTGAAAAAAAAAAATCAAAATATATGATGGCTGAAACTCTGCTAATTCAACACACTTTGATATCCACATTAGATGGCCCAAATAGTTCATTATTTCAATAAATACCAGCAACATTCCAAATATAGCCACGCGAACTATTGTTTTCCAATAAAAATATCTTACTTTTTCAACATCTGCTTTAGTGGCATTGGTATCATTGTCCAGTCTCTCATAACATTGCTGTGCCTTTTCTGCTTCTTTGCACTCTCTTTCGAATTTCTTTTTGCTCTACAATGCAATGACATAGTTACAAATCAATACAACCAATCACCATGCTGCACTACTCTCACAATTATAATTCACATCCATGCGCTTTTGATGAAAATGGAACATATTCGGCACACATTTTCTTTTAACCTTTTGCCATTTCATTTTGTAATTGTTTAATTCTTTGATTTTAAAACTTCCCACATCCTCTATCCTCTCTATCATGCATTTGTCCAATGCTAGGAATAAAATAACTTTAAGATTAGCAACTATTAAAAATTGCATGTCCACATTATTTTAGGAAGCTCTTATTCAGTTGCTAGTTATTGATTCCCCTAAGATGCAAATATAGGTTAAGAACAATAATTTAACCCTGAATAATCTGCCTCTTATGTGTGAACAGCATTATAGCTGGTTCCATATATAAAAGTATTTGCTTTCTCCATGTCTGAAAAAACATCCTCAATACATCACAGAAACTACATCGAGAGTAATACACACACGCACACACACACACACAAACACTAATTAAGAATACATGAACTAGTCTGAACAGCTTAGTAGTATTTTCATTCTTGAAAACTCATATATAGCATAGAAATGTCATGCATCTTAAATAGACTATATCATTAGTGATAGAGATTATTAACAGAATTTTTATGGAGTAGTTTGATTAGTAGAGAACAGCTCTGTATAAATATTAGGCTTACCATTATCATTACTTGTCTCTTTCACAATACATTCTTTTAGAAAGACGTGGGACAAGTATAGTGAAAATGATTTGATAGAATGGAATGAAAATTGGACCATATAACTTGGGAATATGAAGATACAGGCCACAGAAATTGACAATTTATATATTGACTTTTAAAGACTTAAATAATAATAGGAAACTTTGCATTTCTTGCAACCCAATGCATACCACTCTGAAACTATCCCACTAAATTCAATTACTCTTATTTAGGGAAGTGAACATACAGGACTGCAGCCTTAGTTACACTTAAGGTAGTATTTTTTTTTTTTTGCCTGAAATAGTTCTTTATTTAACATTATGTAACTCCATCAACTCCCCTTTAATTTTATTACTTAAAATTAAGCTTAAGGTAACTCTCTGAAGAGTATCAATTAACAGGGGAAGATATGATTCCCAAGACTTAAATAAAAGTAAACCTCTAGTCTATCAAAAAATTTCTGCTTAAGAACCCCAAGGTTAGGCAGTATTTCAATATATTTTAAGAAGCTGAAATATAGTCTGTAAATCTATCAAAGTCATAATCCTGCAGATATTAGTGACTGAGGAATTAGCAGTGTAATGATCTAACAAACATAATAATCCATTTTGGCTATTGAACAATGAAAGCACTGTGATGGCTCAGTGATAACTAAGTTCATTCATTATGTCTTCAGTCTGGCATTAGTCATCCATAAAACTATGCAACCTTAAGGAAACCAGAAAAGGAATAAAAGAAAACTCACATTATCCATTTGTTTCCAACACAAGTCAAGATACTGTTGTGCTTTTCGACCCTCTTGAAGGTGCTGGAACATAATAAAACAAGATGTTTTCTAAACCCCATGTTGCTTTTAAAACTGTTCAGCTTAATCTCACATAAAGATATATATCAATCAAAAGGCAAAACAGAATGCTAAACAAGAATGTAAATCACAACAGAAGCACCATCATTTTAACATTACCAATATGCATTCATCCACTGTTTTCTTTCTTTCAAAGATGTAAAAATGCTATCTAGCATTTAAGTTAGCATTTTTACATTTTTAACTTAAATTATCTTCAATAATTCAGGAGATGCAATGGAAGGAACTACAATTCATGTAATTATGTGGATTATATAGCTGCATGGATTCCTTGAGCACTGATATCAGGTTTTACTGCTACATTCTCTACAGCTAGAAAAAAAAACTTCTCTTAGGTCTATTAACAGCATCTTTGTATTTTCAAAAATGTAATATTTCTAACAGTCATCAAATAAAAAACTAGCTGAGGACTTAGAAAACAATTAAGGCCATGATCAGAAGCTTGTTTTACAGATCAGCTCCACTGAGGGAGACTGAGGGTGAGAGGTGGGGACGGAGGGAGGGAGAGAGAGAGATACAGGTATTTTAATAAAATACAAATCAGAAAACAAAAAACATTTAAATGGTCTATACTTTGGAATCTTATAGGAAAGTATATTTTTGCTGCATTTCTGCAACAGAATAATGCAGGACTACATGAAGATCTATATACAAGCTGGCCAAGCAGAAGAGATATCTAATTTTTGTTGCTGTTTTTGGATAAAACAAATAATTAAATTGTCCTGACATTCACAGATAATTCGGCAAAACAGTAACTTGGATTCCCCCCCCCCCCATTCTTTACCAGTTTCCTTTCTGTTTTGAGTTCGTGGGAATATCTCATCAGTTCTCCATATACTCTATGTCCCAATTCTTCTGCTACTACTTCACGCTGTCCTGCGTAGTCATTTAATTCATTAAGGATATTATAAAAGGCTATACATGAGGTAAACCTGGCAGAATACAGGAAATAAACGAAAAAGATGTTCCATTATTAATGAGGGTGTATAACTGCTTTTCTTTAACAAAACAAAAAGTAAACGAATGTATCAGCATCTAGCATGGTGTGAAGACCTTTAAAAAATGAACCTCAAAGAAAGAGGCAAAAGAGAAAAGCCAAAGTCACTTCTCCTTAAGAGAAACTTGTAAGATCAGCAGGATCTTACAGGGAGGGAGAAAATAAAGAATATCATCCAAAAGCCCCGCAAAACAGAAGCATTTACTAAGATGTGAAATGAATAACTGGTTTTAGGAATAAATTTAAAATTATGAGGAAAAACTAAACTAGATGCAGAAATGAGTTGCTTCATCTGGAAAATGGGACATATCATTCATATGTATCCTGTGAATGAAAGCGTTTGCTACATTGTGAAGTGTTGGACACTTGGGTTAGGTCAAATATGCTATTCTGACATTAATGTTGGGAGGTTTAGAACTGAACAGAAAAGAACGGAGAAAAATGTATGGAAGGGAAGAACAAAGACATTACTTCTTAAAAACAGACCTCATAAACTTATGCTTTTTTCAAGTCATCACATCTTGAATGTACCAGAATTTAGAAGTCACATTAATCCAGATATCTTTATTATAAAATAATATTTATTTTATATAATTACCACCTATGAAAAATGTACTTGGCTTAAACATTTAAATCCCAACAACCCTGACAATGGGATTAGACCAAGATCCATATATATTTCATATTCATATTACCTGGGCTCTTCGTCTTTGGATGAACGTTTAGGACAGTATTTCTTCACCAGATTTCTGTGAAGAGTGAGAAAGAGACAGATGGGCTTTGAAAAAAGAGCAAGGTGAGTTTAATAACCCATCCCAGTCAGAAAAATGAGACAACTAGTTGCCAGCATTAGATTATCTATATTTGCATACATTGTTTACATTATGTAAACTACATTGTTTAAAATAAATTATATAAAGAAGTAAAAATTATTCCACTGTTGAGTAATTACAGATAGTCCTCATTTGTTCAATGACAGTTCAAAAGTACAAAGTTATGGCCATCGCACATCTCCAAGATCACATGAATACGGATTGGGCACTTGGCAAATGGCTCACAATTACAAAATTACACAATTGCAGCGTCCCAGTCACATGAATGCCATTTGCAACCACGCACTGGCCCAGGACATAGTTTCAGTGGCCTAAGCAAACAGTTCTGGATTCTCGTCTCTTCCCATGTTGCAATCACATGATGTCCTCACTTAATGACCCATGTGGTCCTTGTTTAATTTACAGCAACAAGGTCTGCTATTGTTAGGCAATGTGGTCAAATATCACATCACGTTTTACAACCACTCTGCTCAGCAAGGACTACCTATATTAGATCAAAACCAATCTGTCATATTTTCTTTCCGTGTAAGGGTCACAATGCTAAAATGAAGCCAAAAGAAAAAGTAGAATTTTCTATGCACAGACTGACAAATTAGTTTATAATTACAAATTCGGCAGCATTTTTACCATATTTTCCCAGGCATGCATGGTAAATACATGGCTTTTTTTCCCAGCCAAAACAAGCCATTTTCCAGAAGACGGTGAAGAATAGCAAGAGCAAAAGACTGACACTAAAAAAATACAGCAGAAATTCCAAAGATTCCAGTGGCCTCAAGTAACCAAACTGCTCATAAATATCCCCACAAAGGGATAATGGTATATATTTCACATTTCACAGCAGGAAATCTATTTCATTTCCTCAAGTGATATACTAAGAACATAAAATAAATCATTCTTCCTTGGACTAAATTCAAATTTAACCCTGCTCTAGTTTTTAGATATAAGAAAATTACTTGGCACTTAAATACTAAAATATTCACACATCATCAGTAAAGCAAAAGAAAGTGGGGAAGTTAGCAGAGGGGATTTAATGAATTATTCAAAATTAAGAAACGCTGATGACAATAAGAAACTTTTCTCACAAAGGGCAACCATGGAAGGATGCCTGATATAAATGGTTAACAGATGTTGAACACATTCTACATATTGTAAAAGGCCATGGGAAAATGTTGATGAACATTTTCCATCTATGCCTTTAAGACATATATGGGTGAGCACAACTTTACTATATATTGACTTTGTTAATGCCTGGGAGAGTCTTGTATAATATTAAGCACATGTCAAAAAATTCTTAGATCAATGTGGAATTCATGGACTTCTTTCACAGGAGCTTTTAATGGAGAACTGCCTCAGATAACTCACCCACATTTTATAGAATACTTTTAAGATATCATTCATTTCTCATAATCTTTTCCATACTGTTGCTTTTGGCACCACTGTTCTGAGGATAGTAGAACAATATAACTCAGGATTTCCCAGACTGTGACCTATACTTCCCTTGGGGAGGTGCAGACAGTCCAGTGGTAGTGTGAAGAATCTTTTAGCTTTATTGTTAAAATAAATTCACCTTTCCCAAAGTTTATTTATTTTGTTTTCATTGAGAATAGAATAGAATAGAATAGAATAGAATAGAATAGAATAGAATAGAACCGAACCGCGATGGCGAACCTATGGTATGCATGCTACAGGTGGCACGCAGAACCATTTCTGCAGGCATGCGAGCCCCAGGCAAACTCACCTCACTGCGCAGGCCTCCCAGCTGATTTTCAGGCCTTTTTCGGCCTCCCGGAAATATTGGAAGTGATGAAACGGGCCCATTTTTCGGCCTCCAAAAGCTGCAGAGCCTTCCGTTGAGCCTCTGGGAGGCCAAAAAAGGCCCAAAAATCAGCTGGAAGGCGCACGCATGCACAGGTAAGTGCAGGTAAGGGGGCGGGGAGGGAGGATCACGCACGCATGCACAGGGGGCGTGGGCACATTGCTTTCTGGGTGCTTGCACGAGGGCATGCACACGCGAGCATGTGCACAATTTTCGGCACAGGAGCCCCAAAAGGTTAGCCACCACTGGAATAGAATATAGAACAGAACAGGAGAATAGAGTGGCGGGAAGGGGAGCGGAGGAGAGAGGTATGGCATAGAACAGAGCAGAGCAGAGCAGAGCAAAGTACGATTTAGAATTATTATAGCTCCTGACCAGAACAGAAATACATTAAAAAAAACATTGTTCATTTGTGTTCATTTTGGTAGCTGGATTCTTAGGCAAGGTATGTATATTAAAGAGAGATGTGGTGGCAAAAGATTAAGACTGTAACTTTTGCAAATGCAGATTACTTATGCTGGTCTTCTATTTCAACACACTTTTATTATTATATTACATTTAAATCAATTTCCACAGGTAAGTAAAATATGAGTTCATAAGTAGATAGAAGAGATATGCAAAACATATCATTTTAAGCCATTTTGAGTATGAAACTTTGCAAAGCAAGTTAGTTTTAAGCATTTGGGAAATGGTTTTGCACTCATAACAATTTTGTTTCCAACTCAAAACATTTCTGAACATGTTTTAAATGGGTTTAAACCGATTTGCATTCAAAATGGTTTTATTTAAATATTTTACACATCTTAGTGGTACATAGTAACCACACACAGAATACCATTTTTAAAAGTTTTTCTCTGGAGTATTTAGAGAAAAGCACTTAGTATTATTGCTGACAATTTGCACTTTTATGGAAAAATTTTATTCTGGGAGCAATTAACTATGGAACTATAGGTTTTCAGCATGAATCTCTTTAGAATATGAATTCATCTGTACAACTGTTGAATGAAAGTTTGCCACATCTACATTTGGATCACAATCAACCTCTTATGTTTTCAGTTTCAATTAAAAAAAAACATACTTGAGAATCAAGAAACCACATTTGCTTTCAATTTAGAATTCATGCTAGTAAAAGTATCTAGATATCTTGCCAAACTTTCTAAATATAGTAATTTAGGTAACTAAAACTTCATTTGGTTATGGACAAATTATAGTTTTCAACTCAACAGGGTTGTTTAAATAACTTTCTTCATCTTCAAAATCAAGTACAATATTCCAATTGAGATCAGAACTTCCAAGGCTAAGCAAGGCGGTTGAATGAGTGGTGCAAGCTTTTTTGCCTGATTTCACAACCGTTTGTTACAGTTATTAGGGTATCAGAATAACCATGTTGGAAAGGACCTTGGAGGTCCTCCAGTCCAGCCCCCTGCTTAGGCAGGAAACCCTACACCACTTCAGACAAATGGTTGTCCAATCTCAAACCTCCAGTGTTTGAGCATACAGCTTCTGGAGGCAAGCCATTCCACTGATTAATTGTTCTAACTGTCAGGAAATATCTTCTTTGTTCTGGGTTGGTTCTCTCCTTGATTCATACAGTCGTTAATCAAATTTGGATTCCCCCAATCATTTTGCTTGTCAGAAACTGGCTGGGAAGATTGTAAACGGTGATAACATGATCCCCCTGGATGCTGCCACTGTGTAACTATGTAAATATGTCCGGTTGCCAAGCACCTAAATTTTGATCACAACACCATGGGAATGTTGCGATGGTTGTGTGAGGACTTTTGTAGGTCACGTTTTTCAGTGCCGTTGTAACTTTGAAGGATTGCTAAATGAATGGTTGTGACTTGAGGACTACGTGCAATTCTATCTAGAGTAGGGGTCCCACCAGCATCGGTCCGCACAAACAAGCAAAGCTCCATTCACGGGATACAGGCAGTACACGGAACTACACCCCCTCCTGTCTGTAGAAAAATCTCTCCGCACAGAACTGGACCTGGTGCCCAAAAGGTTGGGGGCCTTTGTTCTAGAGACACCTATATTATATTATAGATGCTTTCTCTTCCACTTCCATGCACCAAGCCTATTGCATCCAACGTGCCTTTATTGCCTCTTTTTTGGACCCAGCTTCTCTGGCAAATGTTTCCTAAGTGTTGCTAAAGCTGTGCTGTTTTCAGAGACATTTCCAAAAACAGCACAGCTGTAGACACTTCAGAAAGTTGTGTTGTCTTCGGAAAGCTTCCCGCCTCTTTTCCATATCCAAAATGGCGAAAGCTGCACCATCTTTAGAAACCTTTCTGAAGACAACTCAGTTTTCCAAACTGGCTAAAGCTGTGCTGTCTTTGGAAATCACTCCCCCCCCCCCCCCCATTTCTGAAGTGGTGAGGTGCTGTGCACAAAAGGTGAAAGTTTGGTGTGGCAAACTGGAAAAGAAGGCAGCTGGGTGGATGAATCCTTGCTGCTCACTGAAAGCAAATGAATGCTTGCGGCTTGTTGAGGGAATGGACTAGGGCAGTGATCCCCAACCTTTTTTATGCCGCGGCCCGGTACCGGCATCAGCTGGGTGCCGTGGCCCGGTACCGGCATCAGCTGGGCGCCGCCATCTTTTTTTGATGAAAAAGTGCTTCCGGTGAGCTTTTCCAGGTAGAAAGCTCACCGGAAGCACTTTTTCATCAAAAAAAGATGGCGGCGCCCAGCAAACCAGCGGCCCGGTAGGACTTGTTCCACGGACCGGTGGTTGGGGACCCCTGGACTAGGGAGTCCCATGGGCCTGGGGAGAAAAAGGCAACTGGGGAAATTAATGCTTACTGGTGATTGTTGAGGTTTCCTGAAGCATGGCAAGTAGCCACAGAGTCACACAGTTTTGGGATTGCTTGTCACCTCAGAAGGACAGAAATGGGAGGGGAAAGAGGTGGGTGGGGGAATTGAAATAAGTCCCTTATCTTACCAAGGGGTTGGGGATGAAAGGGACCAAGCCCAGAATGGGTTGGATTGGGGGTGGGCACTCATTTAACAACAAGGGATTCTTGGTTAATAACCACATTGGGGAGAGATAGGATTGCCGCCGTAAGCCGATGCACTCACATGATGCAACTACAT